TTTTTAGGCAAGTGAAAGTAAAATGGCATCACTTCTATTTCTGTTTCATTGATGAAAACCTAACCACTGTGTGAGGGACTCCTGGGATGACCCTTAGAACTGGTGATTTTCCAGAAGAGCTCACAGTACTCAGCATATAGTGTTCATGGCTATGATTTATTACAGCAAAAGGATACAAAACAAACGCAATAAAGGGAAAAGACACATGGGTGAATTCTGGAGGAAACTGGACACAGGCACTCCATTGGAGTGACCCAGGATATACTTAATTCCTCCATCAGTGAGTTGTGACAACGCGTGTCCTTCAGAGAAGTCACTAGCAACTCAGTGCCCCAGGTTTTTATTGAGGGTCCCTTCTTCTGTGCAAGTATTAAAATTTCAGATTCCCAGAAGCAAAATGAGGTGGTCAGTAAACGCCATATTGTTTGTACAAACCATTTAGGCTCTTTTAACATTTGGGACAAGTTTTATTTTGATGGAAGAGAACTATTTACCATTGAAATTCCCAAATCCCAGATGAGGGACAAGCTTGCCAGCAGGCCTTCCTAAGGATGGTAGTCTCAGGCCTGCCATTTTCTCCTTTAGCAAGGCCACACCTCACTGCAAAGCAGGATAATGTAGAAATGGAGAATAAATCTGAAAGGATAACTGGCAGTCTGCTATGCAATTTCAAACTTTATGACTTTGCCCATGTTGTTTAGCCTTTCTGCTCTTTTGGTTAATACAAGTGCCTTTGAAATAGCAGACACTAAGCCCTGTCAGTGCTCAGTGATAGCGGTATCATCATCATCATCATCACCACTGATGTTTTCTTACAGCACATGAGCATGTGTGGAGACTGTTTTCTCTCTTCCTTCCCATTCAGAACCTCTGAAGTGAAATCTGTCCTGTTGCTTCTCTTAACTTTCTTGCTTACAAGTATTTGATTCATAATGCATGTGTACCCTAAATGTGCTCAAACCTTTAGCATCCAGATATAACAGCCAATATAATAGTGTCTCCGTCCAAAGCTGACTGCAGGAATTTCAAATCTCTCCCAAATCTCTCTGAGTATTATTGATTTTCTTGATGGGGTCTTACATGTTCTGGTTGTTGCCTGCCACTTCTCACACTGAATTCTGACCTCTGGCGTCTCCTTAATCATTTTTTGAAGTCTTGTTTCTGAATCTTACTGTGTTTTCAATCATCCTTTGTCCATTTTGCCCCAAAGTGTGGACACGAATCTCCTTCCATTTTTCAGAGTTGGGTTAGCATTTAGTTGACAATATTTGCTTTGACTGGTGAACAAAACTTACAAACGTTTTATGAGTAAGGGAGAAGATATATTAAAATTGGCTATTCAGGCAGTGCCTGTGGCTCAATGGGTAGGGCACCAGCCCCATATACAGAGGGGGGCGGGTTCAAACCCACCCCTGGCCAAACTGCAACAACAAAAAAAAATAGTCGGGCGTTGTGGCGGGCGCCTGTGGTCCCAGCTACTTGGGAGTTCTGAGGCAAGAGAATCACCTAAGCCCAAGAGCTGGAGATTGCTGTGAGCTGTGATGCCACAGCACTCTACCTAGGGTGACAATAATGAGACTCTGTCTCTAAAAAAACAAATTAATTAAATTAAATTAAAATAAAATTAGCTTTTCAAGTATCTCAAGTTTCTAGAGCCCCTCTGCTCCATGAAGTTCCTCCTTGTCTTCTGTCCCTCTCTCTTTTTCCCCCACTCCCCTCCCTGGTACTGTCTGCCCCGATGGTGGGACCTGCTGCAGGAAATGAGATCTCTTCTGGTTCTCCTGCCTGCTCCTGACTCCAGGCGATCAGAAAAAACTGAAAAATTCCTCTACATTTAAAGAACAAAAGCAAGCCAATTAAAAAAAAATCAAAAACTCCTCCAAGAAAGTTGCTCTTTATTTTTGGTTCTATTAGCATGTTTATTTCATGTGTCCTCCATGCTCTTTCACAACGTGGGCTCTGCTACTCTGTGATTCAGCCATGCGGACTTCTTCAGTTCCTCTGGCATATTCTCCCTTGCCTCTGAGCCTTCGCACCTACTCTGCTCACCAGGCGGAACAACTCTCCTGCCTCCCCAACTGGCCCAATCCTACATATTCTTTTGATATAACCTTAAATGTCATTTGTGTAGGGAATCCTTTCCTGGGCCCTCTATTTTAGATTAGGCCCTTCTACTGTGGGCTGTTATAGTAGCCTTATTAGTTTCCCAGGGCTTGCTGTAAGTAAGTTGAGTGCCTCAAAACAACAGGAGTTTATTTCTTTACAGCTCTGGAGGCTAGAAGTCTAAAGTTAAGGCATCAGCAAAGCCATGCTCCCTCTGAAACCTGTAGGAGAGGCTCCTTCTTTGCTTCTTCCTCCCTTCTAATAGTTGTTGGAGACCCTTGGCATTCCTCGGCTGATAGATGCATCTCCCCAATATCAGCCTGTCTTCACTCAAACCTCATCTTTTCTTGATTACATCTACCATTCAATTTCCAAATAAAGTCGCATTCAGTGAGGATTGGGATGAAGTTACTCCAACACCCTCTTGCAGCCCCTTTCCCAACCATTGTCTACACTGCAGTTTGATCACATTAAAATGTAAATCGGTGGCTCATGCCTGTTATCCTAGCAGTCTGGGAGACAGAAACAGAAGGATCCCACAAGTTCAGGAGTTCGAGAACAAGAGCAAGACTCTGTTTCTACTAAAAATAGAAAAATTAGCTGGGTGTAGTGGTGGGCGACTTGAAGGATTGCTTAAGCCCAGGAGTTTAAGGTTGTTGCGAGCTAGGTCGAAGCCATAGCACTGTAGCCTGGACAACAAAGTGAGACTGTCTCAAATGGAAAAAAAAAGTAAATCATTTGTACTTTCTGCTGCTTAAAAATTGTCAGTGCCCTCTCACCACATGGGGGATCAATTCCAAAATTTTGAATATAGCTTCTAATACTGTTGATGATCTGGTCCCAGCCTCCCTCCTCACCCCATTTCAATGACACTTCTTCTTGTTCTTTATGCTTTGGACATCATATGGTTTTCAGTGTCTCAACCATGGTGCGCTTTTTGTTGACTCAGACTTGTACATGCTGTTCCCTCTGTCTGGAATGCTCTTCCTACCCATCTTGGCCTGGCTAACTCCTACATTTCTTTCTTATCTCAGCTAAGACCTCTCTCTTCCTCAAGGAAGCCTATGGCTGCCCTCCCCAGGCTTAGTTGGGTTCTCCTGCTATCAGTAACTCCAGCATGGGATCTCAGTGCACTTCATATTTCTTTTTTTTTGTAAACTTCATCATACTTACATTCTTTGTTCAATGTCTATTTTCCCTCCACAGTGTAAACTACATGAGGGCAGGGACCATGTCTATCTGTTCACCTCTTCATCAAGGAGAGAATCTCCTGACTTTTATATGGTGTCCAACACATTTTTGTTTGAAGAATGGAAGAATTGTTGACTGCTATTTCTATGGTATTTTTTGATTTGACCCTAATTTTGGGAAGCACACTTGTGATGAATGGTTTCGAGACATCAATGTATATGACTCTTTCTTAGCTCCTCTCAGTTCTTGGTCTCTCTGGACTTTCCCTTGCCCAGCAGAACTCCTTCCCTAGAGGAAGAAGTCTATGGTGGTTAGGGAGGGGAAAAGCTTTATTAGAAGACAGAACTTTCATATTGCTGGGGTTGGAAAGGGGAAATCTGTACCAAATTCCTGGTGCTGTGTTGAGATGGGATAAAGAAACCATATTAAGTTGTCAAGATTTCTTCTCAGCACCATTGTTGATGGGGGAGTTGAGAGGGCAGATGAAGATTATTGCCAGATGGAAAGGAAGTGGAGGTGGTTATGCCCTGACTAGTCAGTGCCTTCTCTAGATGTCTTTAGAATGTCTTTGCTAATTCTTGCTATTTTCCCTTAAGATAAAGATACATAAGCACATAGAATCAGCAATTTTCCTGAACACTACATGCCCCTAACAGTTGAGGTGCCTTCTTAAATTTGATCATCTATGCATGCTTTCTTCATTCAATAGTTGTTTACTGGGGGCTCCTTTGTTCAGGTTCTGGGCCATGGTCCCAGGGTACAAAGATGAACATGCTGGTATCTGCTTTCCTGAGGAACCCACATGCTGGCTGGATTTAAGAAAAATCCATCAATTTTAAGGTGTGATATAAGGTAGATAGATATATACAATGTTTGAGGAACCCAGAGGGAGGCAGAACTTCCGGTTATTATTTGCTGATGTCTTACAAAAGTGGTTGTATGATCCCTTAGTCTTCAATTGCACCTTTAAATGTATTCCCTGCATTAGCATGTTTTGAGATTTTCTACCTCTCTCTCATTTTCCTGGAAAGCAATGGGACCTAAACATTAGGAATAGGGTACCTGCATGTGGGTAGATGTGAGTTTCAAATCTGGGCCCCTGCTCTCCCGTCCAGTTGGGTGACAGGTGAATCATTCACCCACATCTAGAAAGGAGGGTACAAGTGCTGGGATTAGATGATGTGATGGATGGAACACACAGCATGGTGCCTGGCATGTACTACATTGAGCCAGGTGCTCAATTTCTGCAAGTGATTGATTATAGCTTTTTGGGGGTTGGGGTGACAAAACATAATTCACAAAGTTTTTATTGCTGATTTTTTATTGTGATTTAATTTAAACATTAGATAAATATAATATAAATATTCATTTTAAAAATATGTATAAGTTAGCAATTTATCTGAGGTAAGCCTATACATTCCAAGAGATGATCTGGCTCTGAAACACAGGATATTCAAACCACATAGCCACATTATATTATCTCAAAACTAATACACAAAGTATCTCAAGTGGCACTTCATAAAATATAAATATCACTCACATAAATTAACTTGACTTCACATATTTAAATTATCAATAAATTAACAGTAATTAAAATTGTGTCCTAACACTTATGCCTTTAGTTCTTCACAGAGAACAGCATAAGTTATGTGCACAGTGGACTGATTGAGACCCAGGGGAAGGAATGCCTGTGAACAACCGCAATCTTAGATGCCAATATGGCGCAGGGCCCTGAGGGTTTTGTGCAGGTACTCCTTCAGGTTGACCAGGATGATGTGAATGGCTGTGTACTGCTGCCAGTCCTCCTGGGAGTCCAGCTCCGCAATCACTTCACTATCTGTGGTCGGGTTAGCGGTGACTTGAGTTGGATTAGACAACTGAAGAGAAAATAAAACAAAAAGAATTCTTTAAATATTGAACAAATTCTTTGCTGCAGAAGGATGCTCTGAGCTGTGGGAAAGTGTTTGAATTGGAGGTGAATGAGATTAGCTGGGGCTGCCTGCCTTGACTTGCCCAGGTCGAGGGCAGGGTGGGGGAAGGCACTTCTGCTCCTAGCCCACCCTGACCAGGACCCTTTCATGGCAACTGAATTCTAATCATTCCTTTGCTGCTCTGCCTCCTGTTAGACCATACACACCCTGAGGGCAGCACCACTATCTTATCTGTCTTCTGTCCTGTTATCTGAAACAGTGCCTGGCACGGAGTTGGAAATTATGAATGAAAAGATGAATGAAAAACCTGTACTTAAAGGCATTTTAATGGGTTCTTCAGTGGTCTTTAAAGCTAATACTTTCCTCCATTTTCCCCCTCCCCATCCATCCAGCATCTGTAGAGAGTACACAGATCTGCTGATGTGAACAGGACTGGGAAGCATCTTTCCATAGACCCGCCCAAATGGGTTTTAGTAACTGTGGAAGGCCTTGCACCCTGGGGTGCATCCCAGAATACCACAGCTTCAGCATCACCAAGGATATAGGAATATCTGCAATACAGATCTAAGGCCCTACCCCAGACCTGCCCAGTCACTTTCTGTATCACCAGATCCCCAGGGTGTTCCTGTTAATGTTAAAGCAGGAGAAACCCTGGTTTGATGGGATTAGCACCAGGGTATCATCCTAGGGCCCTTCTCTTGCACTCACACTGAGGCCCCCAGGGGGCCTGTCATTTGAATAGCTAGTGGCTGGTGGCTCAGCCTTTAGCCTTTGGGAACTCCTCTGAATTAACGCTCTGGTAAAAAGTAGAGAAAAAGAGTTGAAACAGCCATAATGAAAAGAATGCCACTTAGCACTAATTAAAATGTTAAGATTATTTTTGTGCTCTCTGTTCTTTGTTACTAAGGATCCCTTGGGTGGGCTTGATATCCTTCCCCCTGCCTCTACACATCTTTTTTTCTTATCTCTTAAACTATTAGAAATTGATGTTAAAGTCCACTTCCTTTAATAGAGTTTCAAATACAGTTATTGATGTATTTGGCAGAACAGAGCCGAGGACAAAAGCAAAAGCTTAAACTACAGGGAACTATTTCTCAGAGCCTTCCATTGTCATGTGGCCTTGCAATCCTGACTTGTTTGAGCTGCTCTTCCCCACACCAAGAGGAATGAGGGGATGAGGACACACTCACCTTCTGCTTCAGGACATCAATCAGGTGTTTTGTGCCCAGATCCAAAGCCACAGCTTCATTTATATCACCCTCAAACTTGCCCTCGATGTAGGCCAGGTATTTCTCATAGCCGCTAAGACCATAGGTGATTCTTGTCAGGCACTCCTCCTAAGGGGAAAGATGGTAGGAAAATTAGTTACCACCAGCAGCTAGAGCCAATTTTAATCCTTAGTCAAAGACCCGGGAAAAAGAGAATCAATTTTGAAAGTTAAAATTGCTATAATTCAGGATCCTCTCCCCTTGCCCCTCCAAGGAACTTTATGTATCCCTTAGACATCGTATTTTGGGACATTGAGAAGTATCATTATAAATATCTGGACAATGAGAGGCACCACTTAATTAACTTGATCTAAAGCCCAACAGATGCTAGAATGTGGCAATAGAGATCCTTCCTGGATTCTGCCTTTGATGCTCTTTCTGTACCCTGCCCTTGCCAATGTTGCACATTTACGGAATACTCTGTTGGTACAGGTTGTCTCACTGTGTGGAAGGAGAAGGGTGTAGAGAATGACCTCCCAAGGAAGGTGGGCCTGGATCTTTCCAGGGGAAGCTAGAGAGGGGAAAGACCCCCCTGACCAGCAGACCACTTTACTCAGGAGGAACTAGCTCGGGTTTCTAACATCTGGCAGTTGTGAAAATCCTAACACAGAAGGGCCATCTCAGGCCAAGATGGTTTAAAAATAAACTGCCTTCAAAAAAGCTTTAAGTTGGCATCCTCACGAAATGATATAACGTTCTTTACTATCTGTCCCTTTCTTTGTTGACTGTCTGGATCTCTGCATATACAGGTACTCTAGGCAAGAGGGAGAACTTTCACCTAAGTGATAGCTAAACATGAAGGCAGTGAGTTCATACCTTATTGAATCCAGTTTCGAAGCATCCATCATCATCTTCCAACCTGGGCAGGTGAAGTTTGTTATTTTCCATTACATGGCTGTCGCCTTCACACTTGATACCCTTGCTGCACATCTAGGAAAGAATACCAGAATTGGGATCACATCAGTGCCCCTAAAACAAACACCACTAGAGGGCTGATCCCTGTTCTACTACAGCTAGGAAAGTCTCTAAGAAAACTGAAGCCATAAGTCCTGGCAAGCAAAATCAAGTGAATTTGTCACACGTGGCTGCAAGTCTACTGTAACTGTGACTTCACCTTTGTCATTCCTCCCAGTCTCACTTTCCTTATCTCCAAATTTGGGATCATTGAAGTCTGCAAGTTTATTGTGAGGCTGAGAGATACTATTCATATAAAATACCTAGCACATAGTAGGTCCCTAATAAAAGACAGCAACTTTGATGACAATTGAGTGAATACAATTCAAGCCGTGTTCCAGCTGGAAGGACCTGTGAGATTATTTAGTACAACCCCCTTCCTTTAAAGATGGAACCAGAGGAGGCAGGTAGGTAATTCCCCCAAGATCGCAAACCTAATGTGGCAGAACCAGAACTGTAGTGTAGCTCCTGACCCCCTTCTTTTTTCTTTTCTTTTCTTTTTACCAAACAGAGCTAAAATATCTTGCATGTAAAGTTGGGAGATCCTTTAGCCTACATAGGATTTTGCCACTTCGGTGGCCTCTAAAGTACACAACTTAGCTGGAATGACTTTGGGACTCCTAACTACTGAGCTAAAGTAATGCACCTGCCGTGAGGAGCTGAACATTCACTTCAGGTGACATTTTTCTAATTCTCCTAAAATCCAAAGAACAAAAAGAAGGTTCACAGACCTTCTTTGGTTAGGGAAAAAAAAGCTCATGCCAAGTGTGGAGCTGAGAATGGGCCACGGAGAATGGGTTCCAGTCCCATTTTTCTTCCTTTCCAGAAGAAAAATACAGAATGGGACTGGAGACCAGAAAGCAGAGGAGACGTCCAAAAGACAGTGTAGCCTGTCCCTTTGGTCTCAAGTCTACAGAGCCCTAGAACCAGCAAAGACTTCCCCATGCAGGGGCCCCTGTCCACACACAGGCAGGGGCCAGGAGAAGGCACCAGACACGGGCCTCTGTCCCCATCGCCAAGCTACCCACCTTCCCATTCAGGTCATTGATTTCCATGATGATGTGAGTGATGAGTCCTTCGGTTTGTTCTGGAGTACTGAGCGATAATGGCTTTGCGGGGGTGGCATCTTTTTCCAAAACTTCCAGGGGTCCAGAAGTGGGGAACGCAGTAGCCGTCGCCAGGAGCAGCCCCAGTGAGAAGGCCACCGCGCTGAAGGCGCCTGTGCGGAGAGAGGGGAGCGCAGAGTGAGCGCAGAGGGCCGGGCGCTGCCTCCGCTGGCGCTGGCCGCCCGCCAGCCGGCCACACACCCCTCTCCGGAGCGGCGCTCGCCGCGGCGTCCCGCGGAGCTCCCAGGGCCAGGGATTCCCTTCACTTACTTGTGGAGAGAAAGTTCATGGCTGGTTCCTGGAGGGCGGATGGAGCGCTCTTTCCTTCCTAGAGGGCTAGAGTGCTGAATGTGCCTCGGACACCTCCAGCCTTGTATTTATGGGGATGAACCCTCCTGATTTTGAGACTCATGGGAAAATCCCACATTTGATAAATCTTTGTTGGAGGGGAGGGTGGGGCCAGAGCGGGTGGGGCTGATTGGAAACCTTATTAAGATTGTGCAACGTGACGTCCTTTAGCATCACAAGAATCACAAATGGGGAAAAAAAGTGCAGTTTAGGTCATCAGTGAGGCCATCTCTAAGTAGTAGTATCACTCGTTACTTTTTTTTCTTTTAAGTGACTCAGCACTTTGGCATGTCTTGACAAAGAAAGTAAAGCAGAAGTCTTGCGCCAAGTTTTACGAGGGTTGGAGGGGGTGAAAGCTATGTTTAAAAAAATACTTTAATTACCAGATTAACAGACTAGGATTGAGCATGCCAGTCAATTTGTATTCGTAAAACCGCAGCACCTGAGTCTGGGTTTACAGAGAAGGTACTACTTACCACCAGTCATCTGAGTACTTTTATTTCCTGGCTCTCACTGTGACCACCTGTTACAGAACTGTCTAGCCACCCCGAAATCTCCTGCAGTTATTTCTAGGAGTCTCCAGGTGGGGTGTGTGACTCCTTTTTGCCACAGCAGCAGGCGTCTGTGGGTTTCCTCTCCCCTGCTCCAGCTCACTTAGGGGAGGCACCACGGCCCTGCTCTCTCCCTAGCCACTCTTTGGGAGTCCTCAGAGTGAGGACCGGTCTTAGAGCCAGAGGGCCAGTGGTGGCCCCACTACCACCTAAGTCTCTTCGCCACTGCTGGCAACAAGGGTGGAGGGGCATCCTGGGGTGCCTGGATGGGCCCTGCGTCTGCTGGAGCCCACTTGGTTCAGGGCAGAAATGGGGAGGAACACTACTCACCTCTCTGATGAGGGTGTTGCAGGAAGACAATGAGGCATCTTCTAGAACTTGTGTTCATAGCTCCCTTTCCTCAGGTGACATGATTTGAATTCAAAGGTGGCCGGAAAGGAACTAGTAACCCAGGCAAGGCTCTGAATCACCCTCCAATGCCCAAGCCTTTCCTGTTGGGTCAAGCTGGTACAGAAGCCCTCTTCTCTGAGGCTGGCATCTCTGGCAAGAGGATTCTTGGTTCCACACAAACGTCCTCTCGATCTGGCAGCCCCACTGGTCTCCAGAGACTTGGAGGCCTCTGAAGATGGCTCCTGAATGAAAGTAGGACCCTTGCAACTACATCAAAGCAGTTATTTACAAAACATAGAGTTAACATCACAATCAGCTTCTTTGCTTTGCAAAAAGGATCTCTTCAAGATTACTAAAACAATGACCTCTGCTAGGACATTTGAAATATGGATGATTTACCCACATTTTGTTTTCTGCATAACATTTTTCGGACCTGCCTGTTGTGGAAAGTGAGGTTATCCCTTCGTTCACTGATTGTCCAAGCCTGGAGAAACAGCAGTCCTCTTGCAGGACTGGGGATTTTTGGTTTGAAAATGAAAATGGGGCTGCTTCTAGCCATTGTAAGGATTTTCATTTTCTACAGTCAGACTGCTGAGAGAAAATATCTTATTTTACCCTTGTAAAGTCAAAAAGTTTTAGCCTTCCCCCCAAACAAACACACACATACTGCAGGCACCTGACCATAGTTTAAAATCTCCTCTAGAAATAATTATGCTTTTGAAAAGACAAAAAAGAAAAGAAAATGAAAATGAGGGAGTATGGCTGGATGGTTTCACTTTTACTGGTCCTGGGTCTTAAGCAACTTAGACACCGTGGAACTGACTTCTGTTTCCTGGTCTGAATGAAGCCCCCTGCCCTGCCTCCCCTGGGGTGTGAGAAGCCTCCGCAGTGTGGGATTTTTGCTTTTCTCAAATATCTTGTTCTTTAAAAACATATCACTTGCTAAATTTCAAACACTTGAACTTCGTGACACAACACAACATACAGATTTTTTTTTAGAGTAACATGAGGGTACAAATGTTTCGGTTAGATTATTTTTGTTTCTAAGGCAGATTTACCTTTTCAAAAAAAAGTTTTTTAAATGGCAGCACGTGTTCATGATAAAATGTTCTTAGGGCATGCAGGGAAAGGTAAGTCTGCCTTCTCTGGTTCCTTTTTCCAGAGGTAATGCCTAATCCCCAGTATTTTCAACTAAATCCTCTGTTATTCTACTCTGGGAGAGGTTTTCTCAGCTACCCTAGTACTCACCTTGAATTGCCCTTTACACATTAATAAAGGGGGGCAAAGTGAGAGCTATGGTAGGGAGCTTTGGGGCCACATGTGGCCTCTGGATCCTTGGGTCGGAGCTTTTGACTAAATCAGAATTTTACAGAATAAGTCATTTTAATAAAGGGATTTGTTCTGTGAAATTTGGATCTGGTTGAGGGGGCCACACTTGGGAATCTGGGGGGTTACATGTGACATTGAGACTGCAGGTTACCCCAAGGCATAGATAAAAATAATGATAATGACCAGTCACTATCCCTTAGTTTGCTTTCCTATAATTTCTACTCATGAGTCATGTAGCTAATGGTCAGAAAGATTCTTAACTTTTCCCAAAGATAACATCACCCTTGTGAAACCTAAGGCTAGTTTTTGAGATATCTTCCAGGCCCTGCATTCTGGTGAAATAGCTGACCCACCCAGACCAGTGGCCTATAATGAGGAATGGACTCAATTGGTCTTATGACCCCCACCCGAGAACCTAGTCAGCAAAGAGGACAATTCCTGCACTCCATGGTTCTGCCCTGAGTCCAGCCAATGAGGTGACCCAATGGCCTAGCTTTTCCTGCCATACTATACTTTCTCCCAAATTTTCAAGGATATGGATTTGAGAAATTCCTCCTATCTCCCTACATGATGCCAATGATATTAAACTCTTTGTCGGGCCTGCCAGCCAGCCAGTCAGCAAGCCAGTGGCCCTGGGAATGGAAGTGAGGTTGGCTACTTGGGCCTTCCAACTAGCCAAAAAAGCCTCCCAAACTCTTTGTTTAGTGTAAATCCTGCTGTCTCAGTGTATAGGTTTCCTCCTGAGTAGCAGGCAGTGAATTTTGTGGAGCTGTAGCAAGCTCTGCACTTCCATTGTTGGCTTATGTACCCAACATGCACACATAAACGTACACACACTATAACTTTTGATGGTCTTATACCACCAATGTAGCTCTCTATGGGAAGATACCTGGTGGAACACAAACCCTGGGGTCTTGCAGCTTGGGCTTGAAGCTGACCTCTACCACTTGTTAGCTGTTTGACCCTGGCTAATACACCAAGGATCTGTTTGTTAAACCGAGGATCTGATTGGATGCCCTTGTTTGTTTACCTGTAAAACTGGGATAAGAATAGGTCTTCCCTGGAAGCATTATTGTGAAGACTGAATGAGATGGAATGTGCAAAATCTTTAGCATGTAGTAATTGCACCATCAGTGCTAGCTCTTCCCAACATCCTTAGTTTGGTGCAGTGGTTCTCAATCTTCCTAATGCCGTGACCCTTTAATACAGTTCCTCATGTTGTGGTGACCCCCAACCATAAAATTATTCTCGTATGAAATACGAGATGCCCAGGTCACAGCATTAGGAAGATTGAGAACCATTGGCTTAGAGCCTTAGCTGTCAAGAACTCTTCCAGCTCTGCTCTGTCATTTCACCTGGTGTCTTGCTTATGAAAGGTCTATGAAAGATCCAGGCCACTGTGCCAGAGATGTGTTCTCCCAGTCATTTTCCCCTTGAAGAAATAAGAGTATGTGTTTTGTTGAAAATGCCTTATGGCATGTTGAGAACATTAAAATCCCCAAACCAGGTCCATTGATGTAGACAATTAGCCCAGCTGTGTCTGGTTGCTAGACCTTTTCAAAGTCCTCTGCTGAGTGTTTTTGTGTCCACAGCCTTCCTGTACATGGTCATTGTCATTATTCAAACTCCTGAGAGTGGCCCTTGAGGGGGTCATGACTTAATCACAGAATTTATGCTCTGGTAGTCAAAAAAAGGGCAAGTGTGTAGGAGTGGGAATGCATGTATAAAGAGAGGTTGGTGACACTGTCTGCCCCTGTGTCTTGCTAGTATGAATGAATCTTCATTAGTGTCAGTGCCTTGGGCTGGCATTTACTTGCAGAGTAATGCCTCTCAATGACTCTCCTTTGCTCCATAGTGCTATGCAATTTCACCAGGATATTGTCATTCATTTGCATCTCAATGGGTTTTCCACTTGGAAAGCTCATCTCTTACACTTTTTTTTTTCAAGATAGAGTCTCACTGTGTCACTTTCAGTAGAGTACTATAGTGTCACAGCTCACAGCAACCTCAAACTGTTGGGCTTAAGCAATTCTCTTGTGTCAGCCTCCCAAGTAGCTGGAACTATAGGTGCCTGCCACAACACCTGGCTATTTTTTTGTTGTAGTTGTCACTGTTGTTTAGTAGGCCCAGGCCAGGTTCGAACCCTTCAGCCCCAATGTATATATATGGATGGTGCCCTGACCACTGAGCAATGGGCATGGAGCCAATTCCTTGTATTTTTTTACGGGCTTTCTTAAAGGGCAGTTTTAGGTTCATAGCAAAATCAAGAGGAAGATACTGAGATTTCCCATGTACCCTGCCCCCAAATCATCCCCATGTTTTAATATGTATGAATGACCAGGAAAGGCTGTACTTTCAGCATTTGTTAGCTAATAACCTCTTATTTGTTTGATTGCACTATTGCTGCTTTGAGGAGAGCTGAGATCAAGAGAGGCAGGACAAATGAGAGTGTATGGGGATGGAGAAGGGAAACCAGAGCAGCTCTGCTTCCTTGTCCACCTTATTATGTAGGGGGAGCAGGTCCTTTCTGTGTCCTGCAGAATTACTTCCCATGACTGCTTTCCTACATGCTGGAAGAGTCCAGTTCAGAGTATAAGACATCCAAGATGAAGGGGAAAAAGTAACTTCTGTTTGCTACTTAAGCTCTCCAGAGAAATGTTCTGTACATTTCAGGAGTTAGGAGGTGGTGTTGCGCTCTCTGGCTATAATCTGGGAGTTGGAGATGAATGGGTTTGTGATTTAACAGGAGGGAGTATGCCAAAAACAAAAGGGAAGTCAATGGGTACTAGGGGACTTACAGTTGCTGTCAGGATGCAGTTTCACTTATTGCCAAGTCATAAAAGTTTGCAATCAGTGATGTAAAAGCTACTTTGGGGACTGAGTCCCACTGAAGGCTCTGGGAAGTGTCTGCTTTGGGAAGAGTGGTGTTACTATCTGGAGAAATAATATTAGGACACGTGGTTTGTCTATTGGGGAAGAGCCCAGACAGAGGGTAGCCAAGCCCGGTGACTAAAGCTCTTGACCATTTCCAGCACTGGTCCAGTCTTAGGGCCAACCTTACAGCCTCAGCTCTGATGTCGTATTGGAGGACCCTGAGAAAAGGGTATACTCTGGCTGGACCTTATTCCCCTGAGGCCAGGGAAGGGGCATATGTGCCCTGCTGTGTTTCTGATTAAAACCTGTGTAGGGAGGAAGTTTTCTGTTCTGTGCTCTCATCGTTTTGATATATGATCAGTTACCTCCCCCCTCCTGAAGTGGAAAATCCCAGGAATCTTAGGAGGGAAGTGGCCTTGTTGAGGAGTCGACAATATAGACTCCCCTTGTCCTAAGACATCCCTGAATCCCCTTCCCCCTGGCCTCTAGGCCTGGAAGAAAGTGTCCTGATATGAAGATGTTGTTAAGCAAGTTGCTCTGAAGCTGGTTTGATGATGAGAGGTTGCTTTGCTGGTCAGGAAGGAGCCTGTTGACCCAGCTCTTCGGGGCTGGGGAGGTTCCTTGACTGGGTTTCAGTGCTTTGTCTCTTCTCCATCTGTGGGGAAGGCTTTTTATGTTGGTGACTGCTGGTTCTGCTTTATAACTAGGAAACTTTCAATTTGTCAGCTACCAGCAATAAGTTAACTTATTCTCACGAGTCACCATCTTTGGTTTCTGCAAAGATCTCAGTTCTCT